ACCCCCTCCCCAGACCCCCGACGTAATGATTTTTTCATTACGTCGACCCCCAGAGGTCCCGACCCCTTCCCCAGGACCGGTTTGTCATCCTGAGTCGTTTTTTGACGCGCCCGAGGCCCGGTGAGGGCCCCCAGAGGCCGAAAATGGCGAAAAACCTCCCGTCGTGATTTTTTCATTACTCGAGGGGGTCTGGGTCTTCTCCGCCCCCGACCATCGTTGGCGGCGACGATGAGGCCGCCCGGGCCGGGCCGGCCCTCCTCTTGGCCGGGGGCCGCCAGGAGGCGCCGCGCGAGGGCGAGGACGGCGCCCAGCTCGGCGCGGGCTCCCGCGGCGGCGCACCTCGGGCGGCGCGCGCGCGGAGGGGGGGGGGGGGGCGGGGGGGGGCGAGGCCTTATGAGGAAGCAGAAAGTGCCTGGAGGCGCCCAGAGGGCATCTGCGAGGGCTTGCCTTCGAAGCCTCCCCCCTCCTCCTCCTCCTAACTCCTCCTCCGCCTCCTCCTCCGCCTCCTCCTAACTCCTCCTCCTAACTCCTCTTCCTAACTCCCTCCTCCTCCTCCTCCTCCTCCTCCTCCTCCTCCTCCTCCTGCTCCTCCTAACTCCTCCTCCTCCTCCTCCTCCTCCTCCTCCTCCTCCTCCTCCTCCTCCTCCTCCTGCTCCTCCTAACTCCTCCTCCAGGCGTCCCTCAGAAGAAGCCTCCGGGCCCTTCTCGGCAGGCACCCCCTGCCTCCTCGGGAGGCCTCCCCGCCGCGCGCACCCCTCCCCCTCTTGCACGCCGCCGACGCCTGCCGAGCGACACCCGGATGCTGATGACGTCGGGCCTCGGGGGGGCGCCACCCCCCCAGACCCCCCCAACCCTGAGATTCGGGCTTTGCTTGAGGTGTCGTACTCAATTCGGCTACACGTAAGAGTGACCATGGATAAGAGTGACCTTTGGTGCGCGGCTTCTGGGGGGCCGCGGAGAGGCCAAATCCAGGCGCGCTAGCCGCCACTGCCGCTTCGCGTTCGGTCGTCCGGGGGCCCATCGGTGCCCACACCAAAGGTCACTCCGGCGAAAGGTCACTCTTACGCCCGGTCGATTAATTAAGGACAGCATCCCAGACATAATTTCGAGCACTCCAACAGTATCGAAGCAGCGTCGAACGAGCATCGCCTCCCAGGGCCCGATGCGTGAACACCCTCCAGTGTCGGTTCTTTCTTGGTGCTCGATCTTTTTTGTCTGGTGATCAAGGCCAAAAGTAGGCTGGAACATCATAAGCTTTGCCACTGTCCACAGCGGGCGTGTCTCCCAGTCTTGGACGCCGGGGCCACCACAACTCGACCTGGCTCAGAACATGCCGCAGAAAGGCTCCCTGATGGTCCGCTACCGAAAATTTCCGGTAGCGCTCCGCAGAGATCGGTCGCTACCGAAATGCCGGAATGTAGCGCCCAATACCGGTATCAGAGCGTCCTGAAATCCGCTATTTCGACGCCCTCCAACGAAGATCCGGTCGCTACCGAAATTCGGGGTGCGTCGAAATCGCTACCGAAAATTTCCGGTACCAGACCATCTGGGCTGGGTCTGGGGCTCCGGGATGCGGTCGTGCCTGTTTCGCGACGTTGCATGCTTCGAGGGGGCGGCCGCCAAGACCAGACCTCTATAACGCACTTCGAAAAAGGCTCCATGCGGGCGCCACTTACGCTTTTTTCGCTCGGCCTCGGGCGGCCCCCAGGAGAGACTCAGGGCGAGAAGCCGGCCCAGGGGGAAAGGCTCGGGACCCAGACCTCCTCGAGTCATGAAAAAATCACGACGGGAGGTTTTTCCCTATTTTCGGCCTCCGGGGGCCCTCACCGGGCCTCGGGAGCGTCAAAAAACAACTCAGGACGAAAAACCGGTCATAGGGAAAGGGTTTGGACCTCTGGGGGGCGCGTCATGAAAAAATCATTACGTCGGGGGTCTGGGTCTGGCGGCCCCCAGGAGAGATTCAGGGCGAGAAGCCGGCCCAGGGGGAAAGGCTCGGGACGTCGGGCCTGGAGAGGCGCCAGCTGCGGGCAACCGCACGTGGACCCTGCACATCCAGGTCAGAATTCTGAGCCCCCACCTGGGCTGCAGAGCTCGGAGGATGTCTGCAGCCAGGAACAGCCCCAGCGGGGGTGTCCGATACCCCGGTGCCGATGGGACCCGCAGGGGTAGTGCTCCCAAGCTGCCGCACAAAAAGCAGTGCACCTCGCACCTATCCTGGCCGGGCCCACCCTGGGAAGCAGATCGGCATATAGGCCCTCCCGGCTTGGCCAGGGAGGCGTGCACACCATGGGAAGGCTTCGGGCTGCGCACGGACAGCCACCCCGGGGTAACCCGGGCTGCCCTCAGCCGCCCCCCCGACAGGGCCCAGACAGCCCCAGGCTACTCGGGGGGCCTGTTGGGCCTTGGGCGTCGCCTAGAAAGGGGGGGAGGTGAAAGAAGAAGGGGGGAGAGAGAGAAAGAGAGAGAGAGAGAGAAAGAGAGAGAGAAAAAAAAAAGGTGCACGTCTCGGGCCCAAAGGCCCCCTTCTGGGCCCTAAAGGGCCCATTGAGAGGCCGTAAAGGGCTCCTCTTCTGCAGCCCTGGCTGCCCCCCACTTATCGCCCCCCCAACCTTTTTTGATCCGCGGGTCGAGAGCGCACCTCTTCCGGTCGAAGCTAAGCGGGCCGCGCACAGCTTGAATTAACGAGAGGGGGGCAGAAGGAGGGGCCTCACATCAAGGCCAGGAGGGGGTAGAGCCCCGGAATCAGATCGCCCCCCCAATACGCGACGCTCAACTTGCCATCGCTCGGACGTCCATCCCCCCGCACACTCTCCGGTTTCGCGAGTGGCCTTCTGGGCCCGATGATCCAGGATGCTCCTCGAGGGCTCACGCCGAGATGAGATGCGCACGTCCGAGCGATGCCCAGGCCAGTGGGGCCTGCCAGGGCCACCTCTGCCGGGGGGCTGCCTGCGCGGCGCCCGGGGGCACCAGGCGGCGGCCGGGGCCGGCGGGGCCTCCCTCCCCTCCTCTCCCTCCTCCTCCTCCTCCTCCTCCTCCTCCTCCTCCTCCTCCTCCTCCTCCTCCTCCTCCTCCTCCTCCTCCTCCTCCTCCTCCTCCTCCTCCTCCCGTCCCCAGAGCGGCGCGCGCCGCCGCGCCTGGCTCGGATGCGGGCGAGCCCCCGGAGGAGGTGCAGCGCCGCGCGCGGTCGAGCGTCGGCGGGCGAAGAGCGGCGCGGAGCCGCGTGGGGAAGCGCAGCACGCAGCCCGCGGCGCCCATGGCGGGGAGAGCTCGGCACGCAGGCGGAAAGCGCAGGTCCGGCGCGGTGCTTTCGCCAAAGCCAGACCCCCTCGAGTCATGAAAAAATCACGACGGGAGGTTTTTCGCCATTTTCGGCCTCCGGGGGCCCTCGCCGGGCCTCGGGCGCGTCAGAAAACGACTCGGGATGACAAACCGGTCCTGGGGAAGGGGTCGGGACCTCTGGGGGTCGACGTAATGAAAAAATCATGACGTCGGGGGTCTGGGAAGCGTGGGTCGGCACGAGCCGAGCCAACACGCAGCGCGTGAACACGGACGTCTCGAACGCGGCACGCGCTGCGCTTCCGCACGGGCGTATTATCAAGGAGCGGCACACACACGGAGAGCTTCCCGACGCGGGGGGGGGGGCGCCCGTCCCAGGGCCCGCTGGGGAGGTCGCCCCCGCCCTGCGGGGAGCAGCCGCTGCACAGCAGGCATGCCGCCGCGCCGTTTGCCCCGAACGTGCCCACGTAGACGGAGCAGGCGCCGCGGCAAACCTTACACAGCAGGCCCTGCGCCCGAGGGAGGAGGAGGAGGAGGAGGAGGAGGAGGAGAGGAGGGAGGAGGAGGAGGAGGAGGCAAGCGCCCGCCCCCGGCGGCCGAGGCCCCCTCCCACAGAGCGTGAAGGCCGCGGCGCCGGCGCAAGCAGAGCGGCGGGCGACGCGCAGACTTCGGGGTCCGCGGGCTCGTCGATCCTCTCCTGTCCTCCTCCTCCTCCCTCCTCCTCCCTCCTCCTCCTCCTCCTCCTCCTCCTCCTCCTCCTCCCCCTCCCTGGCCTGTGGGGCGCGCCAGGGGCGGCGCCGGAGGCGCCGCCAGGGGGTCCCAGCGTCGACCCAAGAGCTCCGCGAGGGGGTTCCAAAGTCTGTGCTTCTGCGCAGGCGGGCGGCGCGCCGCTCCGCTCACACGGGGCGGGAGGCGGGGACACACCCTCGGGGCGCGGACGCTCGGGGGCCGGGACCCGGTTGGCGCGTCGGGCCGAGGCGCGGTGGGCCAGAACGGGCGGCGCGACACCCAGACCCCCTCGAGTAATGAAAAAATCACGACGGGAGGTTTTTCGCCATTTTCGGCCTCTGGGGGCCCTCACCGGGCCTCGGGCGCGTCAAAAAACGACTCAGGATGACAAACCGGTCCTGGGGAAGGGGTCGGGACCTCTGGGGGTCGACGTAATGAAAAAATAATTACGTCGGGGGTCTGGGCACGCTGCGCAGTCTTTCCTTCCTCGACAGACGCGCCGCCAAGGTCGGCGGGGGCATGAGCTTCCCGGCCGCCGCGGGGGGCGGGCGCCCCGCCACGGCGGAACACTCTCCGCTTCATACGCCGCCTTTCGCCCGCCGACGAGAGCAGCCAATCGCAGGCAGGGCCGCGGCCGACGGCGTCGGCCGGCCGAAGAGACGCGGCGCCCGTGCGATGCAGCAGACACATGCGAAAAGAAACCTTTCTGTCAGACATGTGGGGGCACATGCTTCGCCAACACGCTGGGGCCCCCAGCGTGTTGACGAAGCATCATCTGAGGGGGTGCCTCATCTGAGGGTGCCTTGTCCAGTGCCCCCAGCCTGGGGGGCACTGGACAAGGCACCCTCAAATGAGGCACGCCGGGCCCGGGCGCCGGTGGGGGTCCACTCGCGGGTCGGCCAGGGACATCACCGCCGCCCGAATCTGACCTTCCAGAGAGCTATTTTTTAGCACGGGAGGCCTAAAAACCGAAAAGACGAAACGAAACAGCCCAAAACCAAGACACAGAATAGCTCCGGGATTGGTTTTTGAGTCGCGTGCTATTTTTTTGTTTGCCCTCCTGGAAGGTCAGGGTCCGGGGCCTGCAGCCGCTCGGGCACGTTCCTTCGCGAGCGGCCCCCGCAGGCTTCGCCCATGCCTCGAGATCCCCGAGGTGCCCCCATGGGCCCCTCCGCGGGCCCCCCGAGGGCCGCGCGGGGACGAGGGGCCTCCGCGGAGCACCTGCTGGCGGGCGGGCTGCTCGCTCTGCGCGCCTGCTGCAGGGGGAGGGGGCTGCACCCTAGGAGGCCGCTGCGGAGGAGCGCAGGGCGTCGCCGCCGAGGGATGGGCACCGTGATGAGGCCCTCCGTGCCCGCGACCGGCGGACGGAGGGGTGCACGCCCGGGCTGGCCCTCGTGGAGGTGCGCTCCTCGAGCCCTCCGACGCCTCCGCTGCAGGTCGAGGCCATCGGCTCCGTCCCCCCGGTCGAGGCTGGGCGGCCCCACGTGGCGGCAGACCGCCCCAGGGGCTCCCGCTGCTCAGGCCCCCGACGTCGTGATTTTTTCATAACTGAAGGAGCCCTGGGACACGCACATAAATGCGCACAAATAAAAAGATTCCCCATATTTTCTCATTTTTTCTGGGGTTCCGTCTTCCCCCCCACTTCCCATATCTTCCAAGATTTTCCTGGGGATCGACGATTATTTGTGTCTGTGTGTTTTTCTCCTCCTGAATAACGTCGACCCCCAGAGGTCTCAACCCATGCCCCAGGACCCGTATAATTCTTGGACGGCCCCGAGGCCCCGCCCCCGCAAGGGACCCCCGGGGACGCAA